ATGAAGAGGCATTAAGCAGAGCAGCTTAAAAAGGACATTCTCAAGGATTCTCAAGGACATTGTAAAAAGATACTGTATTGTGGATTGGTAACAGAAGATGTAGTATTAAGAGGCAAAGATGAATGCAAAGTTTGGTGACAAGTCCTCCTCACCTCCTCTCTTCGATGACCTATTGGAGGATTTTGACGAAGTGGACCACTGCTTGGTGAGCTCCCCTCGTGTCTCCATTGCAACCCCTTCTGCCTCTGCAGCCGATCCTCCGGTCTCAGCACCCTGCTCCTGGTCCTGGCTGACGGAGGAACCGTTGTTCTCCGTCCCCCCCTCCTCACTGAGACTGTACTGTGCCATCTTCTTAGCTAATGCCAGCTGGGTCTCCAGCTCCAGCTGCCTGATGTCCTCCATGGTCAGGCCGTACCACTCGTCCTGCCAGCACCACGCCTGCCGGTGGGCTCGGACCATCACCTTACGCAGGCCTGGAAAACAATTGATTGCCATGTCAGTTAAAGGTCTTGAAGAAAGATGAAGGTTTAGTTTCAGGCAATAAAAATGACACATTATAATTAAACATGATTTAGAAATGTGTCCTTAACTTCTGTATTTTATTATGCTAACACTAGTTTCATTGACATTGAGATGATGCTCCAATAGTTTTGGTCCTGAGTGTCACTTTACAGCAGATGTGACCAATCTGTTTGGTATTTTCTAACTCTTCTCTGTTCATCTCACCTGATTGAAAAAATGTTTTGTATACTGTATATGAAAATACAATCCAAATAAAAACTCCTAATAACTGGAGTCCTGGCTGCTGTACACAAGACTAAAATGTGTTTTTAATCAGTGCCTTCCTCTTTATTAACAGAACAAGCAGGAGTTGGTTATAAAACTAATGCCAGTATTGTTCTGAAGCCCCTGCAGATGGCTCTCAAATATTTCTCCAGTCATTTATTCCTTGCCGTTTACACAAAGCTGCATCTGATATAATATAAATGTTATTATTTTTGTGGACAGTAAGATGGATAATAAAGCTGTCCATCCATCCATCCATTTTCCTCCGCTTATCCGGGACCGGGTCGCGGGGGCAGCAGTCTAAGCAAAGATGCCCAGACTTCCCTCTCTCCAGACACTTCCTCCAGCTCCTCCGGGGGAGTGCCGAGGCGTTCCCAGGCCAGCTGAGAGACATAGTCCCTCCAGCGTGTCCTGGGTCTTCCCCGGGGCCTCCTCCCGGTGGGACATGCCCGGAACACCTCCCTAGGAAGGCGCCCAGGAGGCATCCGAAACAGATGCCCGAGCCACCTCAGCTGGCTCCTCTCGATGTGGAGGAGCAGCGGTTCTACTCTGAGCT